CTTTTGGGGTGTGTATTGTCAGGCTGTCTATATCAAGGTGACTTCACTCTCTCTTTGCAGTAGATAAAAGTGCTAAAACTGCACGCAAAGGAGAAAAAAGGCATATGACAGTATCCTGTACAAGGTGCAAGCCAGCACTGCGGAACCAGTTCCTTGGGTCACACTCGGTGTTTTTTTAAAATGACACAAACCCTGATGGGATGTGGCTGTGGAGAAGAATTGCGGCAAACCCTTTCTCCCAGAAGGTCATGAGGCCACACAGAATTTTTAGCCAAATAAAGCAGCTCCATTTCCAGCTGGGAGACCCTGTGGCACAAGGGCCCACCACCCACAGCAGCTGCTGGGCGAGAGGATGCTCCCCCTCTCTGGTAGCAAAGGAGCTGGCGCCACCTCCTAAGGCAGAGCCAATGTGCCTGTGCATAGTGCCCCGGTTTGCAACATCTGTTCAGCGCTAGTCCAACCCAAGGCTGATACGACTCGCGTTATGAGGTCATTACTGTGACTGCACAGGAACTGTTGGGGTTTTTCTGGGGAGGTGGGGAGGGTGGTTTGCACAGTGAGTGGGTCAGAAAACGTGTTTGCCTCCGCTGGGTGCAAACGTGAAGGTTGCTTTGAATAAGGTTTCAAAAAGATCCAGCAATCCAAGTCCTGTCTGTCAAATTCAGAAAGGAGTTGGAGATGTTTCTGGAGGAGAAGAAAATACCAAGACACAGGCACTATATATAGACGTCCCTGTGAAGGTGGCGACGTTGGAGTGCAGTGTATTTTTATCCCAATAGAGGTGTTATCTGTCTATCTCCCATGAAATGCTGGAGGGGGGTGTTACAGCACTCAGTTCATGCAAAGAGAAAATAGCCGAAGTCACAGTTAAATTTGTGTGGTCTGTGTTTTCTAAAGGCAAGCTGTCATACTCAGAATTTTTCTCCTCTGGCTCACTGCCCTGTATTTGTTGCATGACAAAGTTCATCATCCAAGTAGCTGTTTAGTGGCCTGGACAGATTTTTGCCGTGTCTAGGGTACAGTTTGGGTCTGCTACTCATCAGAGAAGTATGGGAGTTTTGTGTATACCTCAGCACACATGATCTTTCTGTTCTCTCACCAGCGGCAAAGACGTGTTTAGCTTACATTGGGGCTGAAGCCAGATAAGAAGGATGTTTCAGCACAAGACGTAACCACATCTGGCACATGCCAGGGGCGGTTCCTAAGAGTTCAAAGGCTTCAGTGTAGATTATTTACGCATTCACCTCCTAGCAAATCCTTTTATTCTTAAATTCCAGACAGTTTATTATGTGGAGATCCTGAAAATCCAAAGTCTTGTCCTCCCTGCATAGATGCTAAAGATCTTAAAACCTGGCCAGACGTCCCAGGAGCAGCTACCAGGCAGTGCCAGTGGCCTCTGTGCACTTCCCGAGCGACTGCTCCCACGGCGGCTGCTCAGGGCCTGTCTGCTCCCTGCACAGGCGCAGCCTGGGTACAGATGCACACGTACGTGCCCATGTGCACAAACCCAGAATGTGCCCACCCCATGTTAGCACGTAGGAAGTGGATTCAAAAGTGATTTAAATGCTAGCAAATAAGAAATAGTTTGGGATGGGCTGTAACTAGAATATTCCCTGCTTTTTAAGGACTGGCTCTGTGAAATTCCTGACTGCAAACTGAGTATTGTATTATTGCTAATCCAGCAGCTCTGCTGGGGCCTGCTCGCACTTCCCTCTCAGAATGATACGAGTTCTTGGCTTGCTTGCTGATGAAGGGATTTATTTTACTTTTTTGGCTTCATGGATGCTCATGAGGATGAAGAGCAAAAAGCTGGCAAGGAAACATCTCTACTGAGAAGAGAAACTTTGATCAAACTTGTGATTTTCTCAGCTCCATGGAGCAAAGGAAGTTTATTTATAGAATGGCTTTTTTGGTAAAAACAAAACACGTCCTGTATCCTGCTTTTGATGGCGTATCTGGCTGCAATGCAGCATGGTGCACGTCAATTTTATTTGCTTTGTAGCATGAAGTGGTGTAGAGTATTAGTGGTCTAGTGCAGATTGGGGCAGTCTTTCTTTGGAGAGCACACAACTTTCCTCTGCAGTTGCAAATGAATACTGCATTTAAGAGTACCCAGGAAGGCTACTGTGGTGGGATTAACCGTGGTGGAGCAGGATTGCATGGTAGTTGTTATCACTGTTGATTCTTTACAAAAAGCATCTACTCTGAGGTTCAAATCAGAGGCCTGTGCTCACGTAGATTACTTCAGATGAATACCCTGAAACTTAAGCACTCCAACGACAACAAGTCGTCCTTATTACTGCCTTGTTTCTCTGCACCGCACAGGCACTTCCAAACGAGTCCCTTCTACTGCCAGGTGAAGAGCTGCTATTACCGGGTACCAGTTCAGGGGAGGGTCCGTAGGCATTAGCAGCCCACTAGAGCAGCCAAAGTAACGTGTGGTCCCGTCTGCGTGTATTTAAAACCACCAAAACCAAAACGTGACTAATACGTTGCATTCTTCACCTTGCAGCCGAGGACTGCAAAGTGTTTTATAATTAATCAACTAATTAAGTCTAAAAGCATTTCAGAGTAATGTGTTTCATACCCCTTCACCAGAGGGGCATAGGAAGTCAGAGGGCTATCTCAGTGCTGCGCCCCAGCGCTGCGGGGAGCCGGTCTGCAGCCACAGCCCTCTCGCTCACTACTTCTGCCGATTCCCAGGAGTTTGGTCTTAAAATGCTTTTGGGAGCTGCAAACTGATGGATGTTGCCATTATATAATATCAACAAGTTCCCACCTGTCCTGAGAAGTGGTAAAAGAAATGTGAAACGGGTGAGAGAGAAGAAAAACAGACGAGTGTATTTGTGCTTTTTTATCTGAGGCTGAGGGAGTCCAGTTGGAGAAACTACAAACCTTCTCATTTTCAGCTGAAATGCCGCCCATAGCGACAGTGGCCGAAAACTGTCGCTGTCTGATGGTTCGTACCTCGCACGAACGGCATCAGCGGCTCCCCGCAGCTCCCCAGGAA